TGCTAAGACCGCCTTCTTAGAAGCGACATTTGTTTATGGAAAGCCGATCTTACTCGGTCAATTATGAAGGAAACATTACGACTAATTGTTTCCGCAAATTACCATTACCCTTTTTTACCTTATTCTTTCAACGAAGTGTACCAAATAGTCACACATTAGTTAATCTTAATAATTAAATCAAGCTGAATTAACACAGCAGTCAAAGGATAAATTTTGATATTTTTTAGGTTATACAAGCAAATAAATTTTCACTTTTGACAATACTGTCATCTTTATACGTAAGTTATGGTAAGAGCTAAGTCATAGCATAATTATGTTATGAATACGACGATCGGTTTAATAATAAACAATGCAGTATACTTTAATACGGTAGTATTTGTACCTTGCAGACAGAGAGTAAATAGTGACCAATACTAAATGATCAGTACTGTTGTGACTGAAAGGCTTATAATGTATTTTCAATCTATCATCCAATCTTATGGCAATTTAAACACAGCAAGATTTTCTAGCTAATTTAAAATTGTGAAAGAGGGCTTAAAAAGCGGCAAAAATTTATAGCAATCGTACGTTGTAGACCGATATTTATCAACTGTATTTAATGTCACAGTTCCTAACTGCAAAATTAATGAATCAATGTTCCAATTTTAAATTAGCTAGAAACCGCGCCTGGCGCTAATTTAAAACTAATAGAAATGCATCAAGGCCGGCGGATAGGTAAGAATAGTTCCAATTTTAAAAGTTTGTGGGCAAAAAACGTATGAGGCGAGGGCGCGTGCCGTACTGCCAAGCCGAGCGTGCCCTATGGCAGAGGAGCAGATGACACGCGACCGTTATGCCAGGTGCACTCGAGTCGCAATAACTGACGCCTACCCAATGAGCTCGACGTGTTTACAATAAAACTGCAATTATGGTAACGTTCCGTACAGATAATAAAATTGTTCAAAATATACAAAATATTTAATCAAGTTACATCACTACATAGTATAAAACAAAGTCGTCCCGCTGTCTGTCTGTTCCTATGTATGCTTAGATCTTTAAAATTACGCAACGGATCTTGATGCGGTTTTTTTATACTAGTAAGAGTGATTCAAGAGGAAGGTTTATATGTATAATACATTGCACCCGTACGAAGCCGGGGCGGGCCGCTAATTATAAATTTTTTTGGGATTCCATTACTTTACTTTTAAGCGTACCAAACATATTCGATTTAGATTTTATGGCTTCTTTTTGTATTAGGATTACTTTTCGTCAAATCAAATTGCCGTAACTGATTTAAATTTTTCTTTCAATAATTGTGTTAAACCGTTAAACGTCATCTCTAATGGAGCGAAATGAATGACTCCGTCATGCTTTTCCAGCGACATTTCACTTTTGAATTGTTTACAAATCGACTCGGCTCGAATTCGATTTGATTTGTACGCGATTCTTCGATTCAAAATCATTACGTATAGTTACGTTAAGTTTCACAGTATAATTTTTGGTTGTACAGTTAATTTTTTAATATTATCGTTACCAAAATGGCGTGAGTATCGGCAATGAAAAAGAAAATACAAAAATTTTGTTTTTCGTGAACGATATAAGGCTGGAATAGCATTATAAGAAAACAAAAGTTACTAACTAGCATATAGATACGATAACTAATATGATTTCTATCGAAAAAGGCTTGCAAATGAAAGATCGGTTTCTTTAACGACCTGTTGAGGTCAGTATAAGATTTAGAAAAATTATATGAATGATAAGGGTAACATAATAGAAAGAACATTACTACAAGTGTGTCAACGTAAAGAACACGAATAAAAATCTTAAAAATAATGGGTTTCTTTACAAAACAATTAAATAACCCTTAACAAATTCAAATGAAAATGATATCTTATAGACTAATATTAAGGGTTGCACAGTGTATATTGAAAAAGTGGACTTGTTTTATGTGCCATGTTGTAGTTAAATTATTATCCTCTTTCAAAGACCTTGGCTTGTTGCTAATGAACCATATCAGAAAGTACGCAGAAATAAAGAATAGAGGAAGTATACAAGGGCTAGCCTATCTCGGGAAGGTCAAAGACTTTTACGCCGATAAAACTTCTAGGCCGCCGTTAACACCTTTTTATCAATGATTTTGTCTACTCGAGAAATAATCACAAAAACATGTCTATTTATTATTTTGTATGCACAATGCAGTACATTTGTATTACGTTGACCCGCATCCCCTATGATATAACGACTTGAGCTCTAAGGGTTTTATATACAAAGGCAACTTTACTTTCCCGTTACCCACCTTGGCAAAACGTCTGAATATAATATGTACTTATATTTTATATAAATTATGTTCAAATATAGATATGTTATAGTCTGAAAACAAATTTCCGTTTGAAATTTTTGTTTATCAGATTTTTTATGTAAGCTGACGATTCATTAATAGAAGTGTTATACTTCTGCATTTCATTTGGTAGATGAGGTAACCGGAGCCCATTTTATTAAAAGATGGCAACGCATCTGCAACCCTACGAGTGTTGCAAACGTCCATGGGCGATGGTTATCACAGCATCAGATGAACCACCAGCTGGCTGGCAATCTTATTACATAAAAAAAGAGTCCATCGATTGAAAGAATAATTCTAAAGACACGGATACTGAATGCAATATAATCATGATATTTCATTAAACTATGACATTACTCGTAACTGAGCGGAATGAAGCCTCGCAACTATCACATTATCGAGTTGTCGGCCGTCTATACGTTTCCCATTCTTGTTGAACACTCTTTTACACAAATTGCCTCTACTAATTAGCGATCATCTGTTTCATCTTAACCTTTATTAGACCGGAGACGCGATTATTTCAAAATACCAGTGAAGTAATGCTAATTCGTGAATTAAGAAACGCTGGCTTCTTTAGACTGTTAACATTTAACTTTTGGAGATGAAGGATATGAATACGATTTGTTTTCGATTTGGTTTTTTTTTTTTTTTTTATGCGAAAAGTTGTCAAACGAGCAGACGGTTCACCTGATGTTAAGTGAATACCGCCGCCCATGGACATACACTCGAGGGTTTGTTTTCGATTTGGTAATAAGTTTTAATTGCCTACATATATTTGCCAGTGTTGGGCAAAGGCCCTCTCGAGGTCTTCAACCTAATTTACAGTCCTTCACGCGATCCAAATATGGATAAGCAGAGTTCAGATATCAATTAAATATTTTCTTGTTATTTCTTAGATATTAAGAAGCATGCTTCTTCACCACAGTTTTATTTTAACGAAGCTTGTAGTAAATTAACATTAAAATCCTATATTATTGATGCTACTGGGCTTGAATTAAGTGAAAATGCAAAGCAATATATGTTTTCTACAAGAATTACTCTCAAATACAAACAGGCTAAAAGAATATCAAAACCTAACAGTATATTTGAAATGTTGTTTACGATAATATGCGATATCCGGTACAATAAATACGGCATAGAACAAAGTAAAGTTCAGATTATTAGCAATCTTGTAGTGACTAACCTCAACAGTAGTTAGCAAGTGCTGTGTGAATTAGATTGACTCATCGACAACTGTATGTCTATCTGAAGGAGTTTTGTGCACGTGGCAGATACGTTTGCCACGCCAACGATAAACTTGCGAGCTACTGTACTTGTGGTAAAAAAAGATAAAAATTATCCCCTCGTTGCACTACAAAATTGGTAAAGTAACCTCTTCACCACTATTGATATTATTCGTATGAAGGATTATGTTAACCAAGTTTCGCTTTAGCATGATGTCCCAAATAAAGATAATTAAAGGATGAGATCTTAAGTAATCGGAAGAATTAAAGCTGTAATTCAACTGGATTATGATAATTTATTTAATTTGGTAGAGTCATTCGTGTATCAATTAGTGAGCACACATCTCTGTACGATGTTTTAATCAATATTATCGCGTTTACTGTAATTACTGCACCACGAATATAAAACGTTACGTGATTGCTCTGTTCAATAGTACTTTATTTTTATCGGTTGATCTTTTTTTCGCTTCCATACCTAGGAACTGTGTAGACCAGACCTTAAGTGACTACACGTCCCAAGAAAAAACTTTCGTTTTCTGGTCAATTTAACATTATAATATTCGTTATTAATCGTTTATTGGCAAGACAATATGAAAAAAATAATAATAAAGAAACATTGTAAACTATTAAAGAAGAGTTTACAAAAATAGTAATATAGGATGAAAAAATATTTAATTTTGAACACCAAAAAAAGGTAAAAGGTGGAAAGTAACTGTACGCTAGAAGAAGGCTGTCTGTGTAGTGCTGATTCCTTTATTATAATTAACGATTTAGCTTTGATTGGTTTTCCCTATCATCGAAACGAAGTATTTAAAACTTCATACTAGGTGTAATAAGATGTATTCGAACTGTATTATTCTGATCCTACTGAATAGAACTTGTCCAAATCTCAATAATAACAATTTAACGGCAATGTAATTAGTCAAGTAAAAATAAGATAAAGTTACCGTCAGTTGTGAGTTTTAAATCAATTATTCTTTGTTTTTTTTTTTTTTTTTTTTGAAAACGCTTATTACAAAGTTGTATGCGCGTACCGTACTATTTATGAGAAATTATTATGTTGCTCAATGCTCCATGACTCTTAAAGTCGAAAAGCAAAGAAGGGGAGAGATGAAATCACTGTCGATGTGTGGACCCTAAGCCCTTTCACTAGCACAATAGATTCTGCAACGGTTTTTAACATCTGCTTTAGTTGTAACGTATTTAACATAATAGCAAACATTAACACAATTCCTTTGGGAACTTTTCATTTGTTTGTTTGATAATAATAATAATATTAAAATATAACACAGCGCGCATAGCTCTATTTATCAAAATTTATCTTAAAATATTAAATATTCGACAGTATTTTTCTGGAAATAGCTTTGATGTTTTGTACTTTTATTTATACTATATTATTTAGTCATTTTCATTGTTATAATACTTCTCATTACGGTCTCATCTTTATAGCGTGAATTCCCATGACTGTCGTGAAAAAACCAAATAAAGGTCCGAATGATCTGACCTCAAGGTAAATACAACAGTCACGCTTCGCCGACCGCACCTCCGGACCTAGAGCCACTGTAATGACCCAAGACATTACGTCATTTGGATTCCGATCATTAACACCGTCGAAATACTCATTCCCACGCATAATTTACTTAACCACGTACTGTTTTCTTTGCAGGATGTCGAATTTTCAACGTACGCGCAGCAAAGTCTGGTGGGGGGATTCACCGCCCAACATCGGCAGTCCAGTAGCGGCGGAAGCCACATGGAACCAGAACAATAGAAGAGAGGAACAAGATTGGGAGCCTCAACTACCACATTGGATAGCTAATCAACCGGAGCAAAGGAACAATAGCGCTGATAATATTGCAGAGCCCAATAATGTTCCTGTCAACCAGTGGCCACTTCGCCATGGAAGCCCTGGTAGTCACAAAAGCCAAGACTCCGGCTTTTCTGACTCGGATAGCTCTCAACCCACTATGCAGGAATACGCGGCAGCGGGCAGCAGTGATGCCAGAGATAAGTCTTCAAGCAGCAGTGACTCAAATAACAATGAAAACGTAACTGTAAAACAAGCGGTCGAGTTTCAAAACACACCGCACAGTCGAGATGTTGTTGACAATTCGAGACCGTCGAACAATGTCGACAATGTTACTCCAACGCCAAAGCCACGATTACGAAGCAGTAGCGTTATACAAACTCCGTACGACTTACAGAAGTACTACGAAATACACCGAGACGAGGAACATATGGAGCTGTTAAAGGATAACGACAACGAAGCGGACGCTAAATACCCATCTCCAACAAATGTTAATACGAACTCACACGAAAAGGAGAATTCCAATAAAATAATCGATAAAACAATAGGCCCGAGATTAAATAAAATAGAAAATAAGCAAATTAACAACACAAATATAACCCCTACCAAACGTACAATCCAAAAAGATACCAAAGAAATACCAGTTAATAATATAAATGTAATTAGTCCTTCCAAAAAGTATCCTGTGAAGAAATCTTTCGTATCAAGTACAGATAGCGACCAAACAAAAATAATAAAGGTCGCTAAAGTAAAAGACTTAGAAACGAGTAAGAACAAATCTGATGAAAGTTTAGAATATATAAAGCTATCTCATGACAATGAGATTGTTGTGAACAATCAACCAAGAGTCCGCACTCCTATCTCCAACGTTTCTTACGTACCAACTGAGAGAATTTCGACAGCGAAAACAGAATACAGAAGAAGTATGTCCAATGAAGACCACAACCCCATAAGTACAACGCCTAAATTCCAAAGAAACAGACTAAATCAGTCACTAAATTTTGAAGCACAAAGACTTGATCAACAAATATTGGACATTCAAGAAGGTTACCATTCACTAGGCCATATAGACGAAGACGAAATACCTAAAGACGACATTCAGTATTCAAAAGAACAGTTTCACAAACCTGTTAAAGCGCTGCTAGGCAAAAACATAATGGACAGTCTCCACTTAAAACCGACTAAGAAAGTTGGTCCAAAGGCTAAACAGAGAATGGTAAAATCAGACAAGGCAAAGGAACTTTTCAAAATGTTTCCATCTAAAAAGGAGAAACCAGGTGTGGTTGACACTCACGCGGGTGGGATTCTAAATGGAAGCAGAGTTCCCTCACTTGGTCTACCTAGGGCGGCGGAACAGAACTCTTGGGTGATTGTCGGCTACCCCGAACAAGAGGTGCTTATACCGAATTATAACGAAAGGCTGGTTGGTACAGAGAGTGACGTCAATTTGAAATCGAAGGATAATCCTAATGACGACATTAATTACGTTAAAACTCGACGAGTCACTCCACCGTTACAGTTCAGGGATAAACAGAAAATCCCGTATGAAACCGATGCAAAATCCGATAAAGACTTGACACACGACTCCAAAAGGGAGAAGTTAAAAGATGACATAAACTTCAATGACGTGCAATTGAACTTAGCGTGCACTTCTACACCAAAAATGTTAGCCCCAGACGAATTTATGTTTGGTTCGCAACTTCCAAAGAATATTAAAACGAACTCTTGTAGAATAAATTTAATTAGTGATTTCAATGGCGGGTAAGAATATATTTTTGTACTATCTTGTTTCGTATTTATATATTCGTGATTTTAATTTTCCGTCGTGTATTAATCACATCTGTTAAGAACATTAAGTACTTATGCAATTGATTTATACAAATTCGCAATGTTTCGAGCATTATTATATTTATATTCCAAAATCACGAAATCATCATCTATCTTGTTTCGTATTTATACATTCGTGATTTATTTTTACGTCGTATATTAATAATATGTGATAATTCCTTAATGCAATTGATCAATACAAAATACAAAATGTTGGGAGTATTTCGATTTCAAAATCCTATCACTATTCCAGGCTGGTATTGAACAATCAAAACGAAATATTGTACAGAGAAAGAAGCATAGATCAGACCACTTTGGAGAGGCTCTGTGATAGGAAGCCGGAGCCAGTCCGGTACTGGCTTTGCGACCTCATCAGCTCCAATGAGAACGAGTGCATGACCACACTGCAGAGTAAACCCCTCGGCGCTGAGATGAATGCCCTGGTGTCTGCCAGCTCTGCCACCATCACCGGGAACATAAAGAAAGTGCAGACACATGGACAGATAATAGTGCATCAGTACAGCGATGTCTTGAGGTGAGTTAAGGATTGATGTTACTATCTGTGATTGGTTAATAATCAACAACTGTGGTAGGGCCAAGCAAGTCTTCGTTGTTGCACGAATGGGCATGGCAGAAATGGCACACGGGACAACTATTTGTGTGGCCCACAGATAGTTGTTTCGCATCTGGGTGTTTGTCCCCACGTGAAATTTATGTTTGTAAAACTGCCTTACAACACAGGACAATGGTATCCTAAAGTAAGGTCAATGTTTTAAATAAACAAAAAAATTATATGTTATCGACTATTCACAACGTTAAAAATTAATTTTTTTATTATTAAATGTACTCGATAAATCAAAAACAGTTTCATTCAATAACGCGTGATGTGCGAAAATTGAACATTAAGTAGACGGCCAACATTGAGTTTGCAATCGTCCCCGACTCTCAGACAGTTGGAGTGCGGCACCGCTAGCGAGGAGCAGATATGCCTGATGGTGGCGAACATCAACGAGTTCGTGCTGGCCCACAGCATCACGCTGAACACCAAGCCCCCTGGGGAGACGCCCGAGAGGTGGGACAAGATCAAGGTGTCCCTGCAGCTCTATCTCGAGAAACTGATCGAGATAGGGGACGACGTGAAACTGGAGCTCAACGAGAGCAACCCCCAGTGGGACCTGGTCGAGAAGCATTTGGACACACTCGTCGAGATATTCCTCGAGACGACGAAAGCTGTTCTGGTTCAACAAATGAAGGTGTGTGTGTCTTTAATTTCGTAGCTTGCGTAGCCTTTGATTGTTTCTTTTTCCGAAGAAAACTCTCCTGTTTCTTGAAGACTCCGCTGGCTGTCTCTCTGTCACCAGGCTGTATCTCATGTACCGTGAGAGTTAGACAGTTTAAAAATTCACAGATGATGTATTTCTGTTACTGCTATAAAAACAAATACTAAAAAACAAGATAAAAAATTATTTAAGTGGGGCTCCCATTCAATATGCATGGTTTTTTTGCCGTTTTTATAGACAGTGGTACGGAACCTTTCGTACGCGAGTCCGACTCGCACTTGGCACAAGTAAATTTTTTCTACCACTGTCCTTAGTTACTGGCACTTGAGTGTGTTTTTTAATATATACTTCTTTTTGGCGCGTTTGTGAAAGAAAAAATATGAGAGTGAATCGATACCTAAAAGCGTATAAAGTTTACCGTAATCTTAAACCGTATAAACTTTTTTTATTTTATTCCAAATATTAAAAATTAGCTTTGACGAAATCTCGACATAACATTATTACCAGAGACAATATTGGTCCAGTAATAATTTATTTATTGCTGTTATAGATTATAAATTGCCAACTTTTCGCGTTTATCTTTCTGGGCTACTACGCACTTTTCCCGCTTTCTAAATGCAATGCAACTTATGCATGCTAACGCATGTATCCGATATTTGCATATTTGAAGCATTGCTTATGTAAAAAACGTGCTAGTTTTTTATTCGTATAGGCCCGGATGATTCTAATAAACATTGCATCAATGGCCTTCTAACTGTTGTGGGTTTTTATTTACACTTACAAACTGGCCAGCTCTTGACAAACCATACTTCGTCTCATAAAATTATAAAGAAATCTTAGCCACGTTCGTTTTCTATAAGACCGTCCGTCACAAACATAAGCTTTTAAAACCGAACTAGGAGCCGTTTAAACTTTGACCATGTTAGCAAAGCTATGACTGAAAAAAGTTAAAGGCAACGATGCCGGCACGTACTCGATTAAAAGGCAATTTAGGCTTTTAAGTGGGAGGGCAAAAAATAGGTCCACGGTTACGGTTCATACACGTATCGGACGCAAAAACTTTGACCACCGCTTTGGAGGCAAATTGAAGAAAAAACACCTTGCGTGTACATCGATAACTTACCCAATCTCTCTATATATTATTTCTTTTGTGTTTTTTGTTGATACGTACACCATAAATATTAAGTTCCATCAAATATAATATGTTTCTAACATCATTTTAAAGTTTATGTTTGCCGATATTGTAGAAAAGTAAAAATAAATTGAATAAAGTTAATGTTTTCATAGAAAATTCGTTTAAAATCTCTTATAAAGCATGAATTATAAGCATAATGCCATTTGCAACCAATCAGATGTTATGGTGCAAATGTGCGGGAAGTCGATGGATGCAGGTGGATCAGGATCGTACTTCTTGGCAGTCTATGGGGGAGGCCTATGTTCAGCAGTGGACTCAAATAGGCTGAAATGATGATGATGATGAGGTGTTATAGATGTTCACAGGCGGAGGTAGGTAGTCACTTAAGATTAAGTGAACCGCCACGCTCAGCGACAAAGACAAAGCAGTGAGCTTCATTTGACTGCTCGTTTGTGACCTTCCATAAAGCGGCGCGACCTCCACAGACCCTCGTTTCGATCATCGAGGAGCCACCATCGGACGTGATACAAAAATATTAATTGACGTGACACTAAAAATGGCACTAAGGCGGGGTGGCAGTCAAACGCTGGCCAGTTTCGAATAAAAAAAATTGAGAATGCTTGTCTGTCACCTCCCATAAAGCGGCGCGTCTTCCACAGACCCTCGTTTCGATCATCGAGGAGCCACCTTCCGACGTGATACTAAAGAGCACGCTGACCTCAATCGGGCACCTCGCCATGCTCAGCGAGGGCTCCCAGGGCTCGCTGCACCCGCGCTGCTCGGAGATCATGCGGGCGGTGGCGGAGCCCCCGTTCGTGGAGTGCGGCGTCCCCAGGGCTCTGCTGGCGGCCGTCATAGAGACCTCCAAGGGCTCCGTTAAGGCGCTAGCCCTGCGAGCCCTCGCGGCGGTCTGCGTCACAGCGGACGCGGTCAAACAGTTCGACGAGGTAAGTGTTGCCTTTAGTTAACTGACGTTAGTATTATAGTTCAACGTCTTTGGATTCCTCCGTACAGACAATTTATCATTGCATTCCTATACATTTTATCTACCTAACTTTATTAAATGACTTATAGGAAAATGAACAGATTATAAACCTACAAACTGTAAGAAAAAAGAAAAACATCAGATAGAAATGAAAGTAACAGTTCTGCAGTTCCTTTCTAGTGAATTCGAACACTATATTGCGAATTTAGCATTTTATAAGATGACAATTTTATTGTTCATTTTAATATTACTACTCTTATGTTCATCGTTTTTGTCTTTTCGTTGTTTTATTTTTCAATCATCTTTTTTAAAGAATCCATCAAAAGCTGGCGCGCTATTATAAGCTGTTCATTTTCTACGTCGATAGATCTTACTCTCTATGTACAAATTAATATTAAAATATTTTTTTTTTTAATTTACAAAAAGTTTGTTATGATACAATTGTTAGTAACACATACGGATAAAAGCAGTTTCTATTTTACCGCATTATTATTTTCTAGGCGCGTACACTTAAGTGTGTAACACAAGACATTTATAACGGCTTGTGTTAAATTATTTTATTCTATAATACTTTTTGTTTTGTAACTCCTGTTTGTTTTGTAACAGTATTGCGTCAAACGTTAAATTTATTCACCAAGGTTATATGTATCATACATTAATATTGTATTGCGTATTTTCAGGGCGGCGGCATAGAGATCCTTTCCGATATTCTCTCGGAGAGATCGAACCCCGAACCACAAATGCGAGAGGCGATTACAGTACTCACCCAAATCACCGCGCCCTGGCTGAGGGGCCACTACGATCTGACACAGCTACATACGTATCTGAACACCATCGTGGAAAATATCACCGGTTGGTATATGTTTTGCATTAAAAACGCAATGGATTTATTTCTTGCATACTAAAAGGGTTACCGTTCATTGCGACATCTGTTGACAGTTTGCCGGAATTGGGACATTACTAACGCCATCTACAAATTAACTTTGTTGTTGATAGCAAAATATTTTTATTTTGATACAAATCAGGACTTTGCGTATCATACGATATGTTGACATATTTGTCTTTATATTGATGTACTGCATGAAGGTTATTGGTAAATCTGTTGATAGTTTGTCGGAATTGGGATACTACTTATGCCATCTAAACATTAAATTTGTTATTGATTGCAAAATTAAAAATATTTTTATTTTGAAACAAATCAAAACTTTGTCTCTTATACGATCGTAAGAATATGTTCAAATATTATCTTATTTATATATATTACATATATATTACACGAAGGTGTATATCACCTGCTGTAATTGCTGTATAGTCATATTGTTTATGAAATCCATCAAATAGGTAGTTCCCCAAAACGCTACGTCGTCATGTTTGTTCATAGATATCGGCCATATTGATTTTATAATGTAGATTAGATATATATCTTCATTAGATTAGATAGATTAAGATTATAATTTGACAAATTCTTTATCTTCAGGTATTCTCTCGCGCACCGAGTGCTGTCAACTGCTGCTGCTTTGCACGGCGTGCCTCGTCAATTTGGTACGGGAGGTCGAGCTGGAGGGGAAGGGGGGAGCGGACGAGAAGTCGGACATAGTCGAGGTGGTGACGCGCCATCGCACCGTCGAGAAGCTGCTGGACGCCGTGAAACGCAGGGGACCCGACATATCCGTGTTCCTGCAGGTAGATTGCATTACAGCTGTGATAGGGCTATGCATTTGCCCTAAGGCCCAATATGCCCGGGCCTAGGGCGGCCAATCTTGACAAAAAATTCACTGATGATAACAAGATATATGATGGGCGCTGAGAAAGGGGCGGCCATTTATTACAACTCAACGTCTTGGGGATTTCTCCATACAGACCTATTTTAAAACAAAAAGTATACAATCAAACGTCGTCCCCGCCCGCCGCAGGAGCAGCTATTCTCTTTTTAAAAAGTACCCAATCAGACGTCGCACCCGCTCGCCGCAAGAGCAGCTGTTCTCTTTTTAAAAAGTTTACAATCAAACGTCGCCCCCGCCCGGCGCAGCAGCAGCTATTCTTTTTTTAAAAAGTACCCAATCAGACGTCGCACCCACCGCCGCGGGAGCAGCTGTTCTCTTTTTAAAAAGTTTACAATCAAACGTCGTCCCCGCCCGCCGCAGGAGCAGCTATTCTCTTTTTAAAAAGTACCCAATCAGACGTCGCACCCACCGCCGCGGGAGCAGCTGTTCTCTTTTTAAAAAGCACCCGCCGCCGCGGGAGCAGCTGTTCTCTTTTCAAAAGCGCCCGATGAATCGCCGCAGGAGCAGAGCGCGGCGCTGCTGTCGTCGCTGAGCCGCGTGGCGCGCTGCGCGCCGCCGCTGGGCCGCGCGCGCGCCGTGAGCGCGGCGCTAGTGCGCTTCGCGCGCCCGCCGCCGGCGTACGTGCGCCGCGGCGCCGAGCTGCGCGCGCACGCCCGCCTGCGCTGCCATGCCGCCGAAGCGCTCGCCAGGTGGGTTCGATGCCAATGTCACCGGATGGGAGCTTGGACTTGGCGGGACTAAGGGTCTCGACTTGCCTTCGATTAACGTCTTGATTGACCAGTACCAGATATATCTATATTGATAACGCCCAGATTCATATTGATTGATGAGTCCGTGATTCATCTTGATCGTTGAGTCCCAGATTTTAACTGTTAGTTCAGTCCCAGTTTTACTTTTCTGGTTCACTCCCAGATTTAGTACAAGTACAATATTGTCCTATACTTAGTTTGATACTGGGACTGCTCCCAGATTTAGTTTTTTAATTGAGTTTGATGGATTGCGCCAAAGTTTTAACAACCACATAAGTAAAACGTTAAAAATGATAGCTCCTTAATGTGAATATTAATTATTTTACAGGCTAACTGTTGTTCCGGATGTTGCCAAGCAGATTGTCCAACTCGAGGGTGTTCCTCATCTTATCCGTCTGGTTAGGATGCAACGATCACGCCCTACCGTGGAGGAGAACCCGGACCAAACCCTCATACACTGTCTGAAAGCCCTCAGAACAATTTACAAACACCATCCAGAGGCATTCGAGGACCAGAAGGATGTCGATGAGATGATCAGGCCACACCTGATGGAGTCATTAATGCTTTTCTCCGCCAAACAAGAGAGCTATGTCTAACATAAAAATATGGTCAAATGCAGACGACAGCCTAAACAGGGTAATGTGAACATGAAAAAATGCCAATGGCATAGACTTACATCAGTCAAACTATAATATATTAGGGTACATGAATATACTGTTTTTTTTATAATAGACTGCAAAGGATGGATGCCAATTACATTTTTTTGTAGTCCAAGTTCTTGGATTATTGTTTGGAGAACATCTTTGTGATAAATTTTATGCAGTTTCTATCTTTATTCTAGAGGCATGTCTATCACTTTAAACTAGGCTCCATTAAAAATGAACAATTCAATAAAATAAGACAAAGTCAGAATGAAATTGATTTCACACTTTTTAATTCATTTCAATGAATGTATGATGTATGAATGTTATGCAAAATTTGCAATAATCTTTATTGCATTTTTCTATCATAGCTGTAAATAAGACTGTCATATTAGTTTTTGGCAAAGATATTTATGATTAGTTGGTAGTTATGCGTACCGAAATAAGGTAACAGAGGCCATACATGGACATTATTGCTAGTCTTCATAATTTACTCCAATTTAGAATTACCACATACAAATATACATAAGAATTATAAAAAAATCGCTTGGTAACATTTTAATCTAGTTATATTTGTTTACCTCAGGGTAAAATTTATAAAACAGGTCAATGGACAAAAGTCATATCAAATCAAAATATTACTACAGCTTCTTTGACATTATCATTTGGCATTAAGTGCGAAGCCTAAGCACTTATAAATTATTAGCAAAGGACTCTATGGTCTTATATCTTTCTTTAAAGAATAAATAATTAAACCACCTCTACTTAACTTTATAAATTATAGATAAGGACAATGTATACTTAATACAGATAGTTTGTCTAGAGATTATATTCATACATTATTGTTTTCATGTATATAAAATAAAATATTATTTCTTATGTAAATATAGTTTTATTTTTCCAATCACAGCAGGATAACTGCATATTGTTTGAATCTAAAGAGTAATTTCATTTTTGTACTAACGTAGCACCAAAATATGAATTCAAGTTATTAGAATGAACCTTGTCTTAGTTTGCTTTAATTTCCAGGGAACTTTTACACATTACACATTACAGAAATTATTTCATGAAAATGTGTCATTCTATTGTCTTTGATAATAATAATAACTAAAAATCAAATGTAACAATTTGTTTTACCTAGTAACAAACTATTCACCAAACAACATTAACACAGATTACATGAACATTATGGAAAGTCTTTTCCTTGTTACGCAAACACACATCTATTAATCATAATTCATAAGGAGTCAGTACAACATGTGAATATGGCTGTCCCCAGATGAAATCTCAACTGGGTTTTTGTACTGTAACATTATCATGCCAGAAAGAACAATGACATCAATTAACTAGTTGATAGTAAGAACTAAGAAATACATTCTGTACAGAAATTTTTAACTAACAGTGTTGCATGTCATCTCAGAATACAGAATGAACCAGAATCCACGAAAATGCCTAAAACTGAAACATTAACTTCACTGTTGTCGCATAGCTGTTTAGTCAGACTGTGAACTTCGTATCTCACTATGTGATTGAGTTCAATTAAAACAATTGATGTTAAAAATGCAGTTGGACTCAAAAAGAAACAGGACAAGATCACATATATTTATACCTATGTATTGAATTAACTAAATGTATAATTTGTAATAGTTATTGAAACCGATGCGTCCATGCTATCCATGTCGCCAATATAAGAGTTTCGATTTTCCCTACTTTTGATTACATAGGTTTTTTTATCAGTTGTAGTATTATTATTAAATTAAAAAACCAATAAGGTATTAAAAATATAATCTGTAACTGACTTAAATAATTATGATGGTTGTCACAATTGCAAGACAATCATAATACTATGTTAATCTATTAGGATTTCTACATGTACAAATTTGGTGTAATTGTGGGGGTGTGTGATATGGGTTTATTTGAAGCTTTAATTGTAACTATCCGTATATAATTATCAACTTATCCCTATTATATAGAAAACATATGATAACATCACATGTATCACAAAATGTAAAAAAAAATAATGGAGCCATTGTACTCAAATTGGAATTAAAAGCAAAATGTAAATCTTTGTCAATAACTTCAAATTCTAAATGATATTTTTTAAAAAACGTTATTAAAAGTTTTGTATATAAACTATGTTCCATTTAAAGAACTTTTATATATTGAGGTGACACTGTAACCTCAAAAAATAGTAGAGGTGTATAAATGGAAACCAGAAAGTGGTTTTGTGTTATATAACTGAAAAATGTTTTAAAATTTTCAAATGAAAGTAAAATAAGACATTTTTAACACAATAAAAATATTTCAAAAAGTACATTAAGTTATTTATAGCAAAACATTAATTGTATACTATTAAACCCTTAGCAATTGTTTATATACTTACAATTAAATCATAAAATACAACTGATATACATAACCAATACTAACTATATGATTGTTTGACATTTTTTGAGTGAACTATATCTACAGTTGTTTCGTGGCATTGCCGCAAGTCCATGTCATAAACACCCAAACAAAACTTGTTTTCCGGTGGCTTAAAATAATCTAATCCTCTTCCAATTTTTATTATCCAACCAGAGCTTAATCTGAAATTTAAACAACAATCACAAAGTGCTATGATAAGAACAAAAGACACAAATTACAAATGAATATTCTACACAATTATAAAATTGTGTACTTTGATCTTGATTGCACTGCAGTAATTTGTTCCTAGATTGTAAAACAACTAGAGCACAAGAGTTAATGATATAACAAATAATATTTGTCATTATAGCTATAATGAACTCTACATAATAAGTATTCATCATCATCATCATCATCATTTCAGCCTGTTTGAGTCCACTGCTGAACATAGGCCTCCCCTATAGACTGCCATGAAGTACGATCCCGAGCCACCTGCATCCATCGACGTAAGACATAATAAGTATTGTAAAGTATTAAATTCATAACAAAAATCAAAAATATAATATTCAATATATAACAAAATCATCATCATTCTGCCACTATCCCACCTAGGTGGAGTCGGCACAACATGATATGTGGTTTATTTTATTTTACGACTGGACACCTGCCTGACTTCAACCCTCCTTAGGAAACAAACTCCCAGATCTAAAACAATTATCTTTGGGCCACTCAAACACTTGTCCCATGTGGGAATCCAGCAGCCTCCGAGGCATCAATATATATGTATATAACAAAATGTATTTGTTAATTTGGCTTGGCTTAAATGTTAATATATAAAACAACATACTTACATGATCTGCCTATCATGCAATGTGTCTGAGTACTTCACAATAAACTGTACTTTGTATTTAGCTAAATCATTTCTCATGTTCTTAAACCACACCCTCTGATCACCTTCCGACTTATTATCTGTAGAGGTTAGAAGTTCTATGTGCTTCAGATTATCGCAGGACCTCACCAAGAGTTCACAAAGTCTTAAGAAGTTCTGACACTGTGAAAAAATAAAACTTAACTGTGTTACAACTGAATGGGTTAATCATAACCCCACTAAACTGATGTGGAACTGAGTAGGACGTATCAGTTTCATGACTATGGGAAGTGTTCTCAATGTTAAACAAATTGGTTTCACAAACATAAAACTGTAATAAAAGAACACAAAACTGTATTAAGAACCAACACCTTTTGTTCAGATTGGACAAAAAATACTATGTACAAAAAACTAAACATTTTTGTTGTGGAAGATGGCAACAAAACTGTCAGTTTACCGGATTTTAAGTGATAACCACCCGTACCGAACAAAGACATAGAACACAGAGAATAACTAACACTTTATATAAACTATACATAGTGGAGTAAATAGATCCTTTAGGCCTTTTCTCCACAGCGGGCAGAGATCAGCTTGATAATAAATAAATCATAAATGGAAAAATTCAAAATGTTGGTGTAAATCATGCTGTCTACTCAGTTGACTGTGGTAAGTCATTCCCATTCAAACAACTGTTCATAAAAGGCTCATTGTAGTTAATCTCCAGCTCAAACTTACCTTGAACTTATCATTTTACATTTCATTTACTTATTTGTAAAATTAAAGCAGCTGACATTTAAATTAAAGAATCTATTACAAACCTGATGAAAATTTCTGATATAAGGGTCTTCCACAACTACATAATGGACATCTTCATCAAGGAAACGCCCAAAAATAGTTTTATAACTGTGACCAGTAGAGTTATTTTCTATGTGAATTTGTTCGTGGAATTGGCCCGTCTCCTTTTGTTGCAACACCAACTTTTTTATAGTTTCTGCACGTTTCATGTACTCCTCCACTTTTTTTCTCAAGTAAGCCTTCACGTTATCATCGCATTCACCTATTAAATGGTACCATTGAATACATAAAACACAACAAGAAAAAACACATAAAGATAGATTAATTTTTACATACAAACCTTTCATCTTGTCAACTAATATTTGCAAACCTTCTTGGTAACATACCAATGCTTCCGTGTAGCGTTTTTTTGAATCTAAATCAACTCCTCTTTTAAGGATATTTACAGCAGCACTTTCGATGTTCATTGTATTAATTTGAAAACATTTGTACTTTACAACTTTACAGTTAGGTTGCCAATATGTTTATGTTGAGAATTAGGGATCTTCATTATGTATTTTCAAGAGTTTGTTTATATTTTGATTTTGACACTTTGACAGTAGCAGTGCTGCCAAGAGATAAAGAATAGACTTGAATTTATTGAAACTTTTGCCTATGTAACATAATTAAATTCCAATTAAATTGTAAATTTTTCTTAAAAAATATCAGCCAAATTCGCGAAAAACCTTTTTAGTATGAAAAAGATGTCCTTAAACTTAGTACAGTTATGATCAGTTTTTCATGAAGTGGCAGCACCGTAAGCAGAATTTCCCCTTAAAATATCTGTTACCTATTCGAAGTGCTTTGTGTATTGCATTTAATAAATAAACAAGTAAATATTTAGTTGACTTATATAGCAATTTTTCATAAACATTTTTGTAGTTTTCAAATATTACAAACAATCGTGCAAAAATGGTTTAGTTAGTGCATTTGTGTATGTTTATTTAAAAAAGACATTGCTCCAACTTTAGGACATTATCCTGTGTTGTAAGGACGTTTTACAAACATACATTTCTCGCAGACAAACACCAAGATGCGAAACAACTATCTGTGGGTCACACAAATAGCTGTCCCGTGTGGGAATCGAACCCACGATCCCCGACACCGAAGCTAATACCTTGGCAACTGCGCCACGGAGTCATCAAATTGAAAATGAAAAATATTTATTGATATATAGGTTTACAATTGATACAATACTAACCCCCACACTAAGCGCAACTTGTCTTATGGGGGAAGTTAATGGTTTCCGCAATTTGGTACCAGCGCACGAATACTATTAGACTACTTAGAAAAAAAATTTAAAAGAAACGAGAGAAACGAAACTATAAAAAATATATAAAAAAAATGATGTGATAATAATGAAAATAATATTAATAATGAATAGCTAGAAACGAATATATGTGAGTGCGTGCGTGCTCACGTTTGTGTGTGTATGTGTGTTTGTGGATAATTATTGTTATACTTCCTTATTTTTAATCCTTCTTGCGTGCTCAGCGGATATCGAGGAAACGCTCCACCCTCCGTACCTCCACTGCACGCACTCTTTAACTTCCCTATGGATATGGTGCATCCTAATGTATATGTTAGGATGTTGGTTCAGGTTTGGAGACACCCTCGCGGGTTCAGAGGGTCTATGTCATCAAAAACTCAATCAAAAACTGAATTTAGAAATTAAAGAGATAAAGGCGTTTTCTCTATTTCCTTAATTTCTAAATTTTTTTTTAGTACTTTGTAGTTATAAAGTTCAGCACTGCAAAGTCTCAGTAGGACCGAGTAATTAAAGCAATAATCGATTCATCATCCATTGTTATTTCGTTTTATTAAGTATACTGAAGCTTATAGCGGTTCTGCATATGCATGCTTCCATATTATCGAAAGCAGTAGATAGATCATAATTAATCACAATGAAGAGATATCTTGTAATAAATGAACCTTGGCGGTCCGAGCGATCGTTTAAGATGAGTATAGAGAGTAAAGATAAGGAGTGATATCTCAATGTGTAGAAAATGTGCATAAAATGTAATAGACAAAATAGCGTAAATTGTACATTTCAAAGAAAACTTAAAATTGGTACATCAATTGTATAAGGAGTAGTATCTCATGTGTTCTTAACTAGAAGTGTGTAATTCACCAGCTGTCAACGCGTCGCCTCTTGGACGAGGCAACAGAGGTCAACGTTAACGTCCCCCGGTGCATCATCGCTCTAAGCGCGGCACGTAATATCTACGTTAACAAAGACAGATATACCTCAGATACAGATATACCTAAATGTAATTTCCAAAACACACGATTTACCAAAAAAAAAACAAACCTCCTCCTCCTCCGGGTACTTATCGTTATGTTACGTAATTGTTTATGTATATTAATTATTTACGTGATTTAATTTTTCGTTACCGATCCGAACGTCCCGCAATTACAGAAAAGTTATTATGTCTCATGATTATATCGCTATTTCCACTTTATTTCTTCATCTGGATAGGTTTTAGTGAGATGGATGCCAATACCGAATATAAGAGTACTTTATAACTCAAGGACTAAGATATTTTATTTAATGTTTTCTACTCATAATATACCCAGCCTTGTAAGACACGTTCGATAAACGCACATGTGAGTTTAATGGATACTCGAACAAAAATCGACCATATGTATCAAGGACTAAGACAGTTTTATTTATGATGATATGTTGGAATACAGGCGAAGCGGGACAAGTTTAATTTAATAAGTAATTCTTACATACTCTTCTTCTACCTGGCATTAATCCCAGCTAATGCTAGGGTCTGCTTCCTACTTAAACTTCTCCACTTTGTCTGATCTTTGTCATCCTCAGGGATCAGTCTATTGGCTCTCATGTCTTGCTTCACGACGTCCAGCCATCACTTCCTTGGGTGGCCAGGAGGTCTGGCTCCGGGGACAGGCATATCAAGGCATATCCTTTCGACATATTTATCCGACCTGCTTGCGACATGGCCATACCATCTCAGGCGCCGCTCTTGGCGTTTATTCGATAAGTCATCGACCCTGATATTGCCTCGAATAAATGCGTTACGTAAGCGGTCAGCCCGCGTGACGCCGTACACCCACTTTAGCATATTAATCTCCGCGACATGAAGTTCCTGAGAGTGCCGAGATAGAGCTGGAGAGCACTAGCTACTATACAGAAGTATCAGTCGAATGATGCTCTTGTACACCGGCCCCTTGAGCTTTGGTGGTATTCTGCGGTAGCAGACCACACCCGCGACCTCTCGCCACTTAGCCAAAGCAGCGCGTATCTGGGCTTGGACATCATGGCCGATGCTCCGGACTCGTGCAAAACAGATCCAAGGTATGTCAATCCAAGGCCATATATATGCAGAGCTCTCCTTTTCTCCCTGTATGCCTCCATCAAAGTTCTAACAGCAAATATGGGATCCATGGTGCCAGATCCCTGTTGAAACCATACCGTATAGTTTAAACTTTCATATTTATTCACAGTTTTGCAATGCATTTGACTATAGCTACCTGGTATTGTTTTATTATTTTTTTTTAAGTATTTACAATCTTACATTCTATATATAAGTATTTACAATCTACAAAAACAGTGGGATGTTCCTTTGGTGCGGAGAATACAGAGAGATACGTTTCAATCTTTAGAAAGTAATTTAGAGCGTGCCCGTTTCCTAGGCGTCTCATCTAAAGAATCGAGTTATTGGCTTCACGCTTTACCATCAAGTAACTTGGGCACATTGCTTGACGATGAAAGCTTACGCATTGCTGTAGGAATCCGTCTGGGGGCACCGATTTGTCAACCACACCAATGCCCTTGTGGTGTCAGTGTAGACAAATTTGGTCTCCACGGGCTTTCTTGTCAAAAAAGTGCTGGCCGTTTTTCCCGCCACGGTTCCCTGAACGACATCATCCGTAGGGCTCTTGTTTCCATCAATGTTCCATCAATTTTAGAGCCCTGTGGCATTTTTCGCGACGATGGTAAGAGACCCGACGGTTTAACATTGATCACTTGGGTGAGAGGCAAAGCCCTTGTTTGGGACGCCACTTGTGTAGACACTTTGGCTGCCTCTCATCTAAGGGGTACTTCGGTCAGGGCCGGGGCGGCATCGGAGGCAGCTGAAGTAAGTAAATGGCGCAAGTATGAGTCTTTATGTTTAGATTATGTATTTGTGCCATTTGCTGTTGCAACATTAGGTCCGTGGGGTCCCCGCACATCAATTTTTTTAAAAGTTTATGTCCTAGGCTTAACGCCGCGGCTGGTGACAAGACAAGAGAGCTGGTTCTTTTGTCGCTCAAAGGTTAAGCATAACTATTCAGCGAGGAAATGCAGCAAGCGTTCTAGGCAACATGCCGCGTGGATTAGGTTTATTAGATAATATGTAATTTTAGATGTTGTAAATATTAGTTCAATAAAGATTGTACTTGAAAAAAAAAAGTAATATGTTGACAATATATATTGAATATTGATGTCTATGATTAATTTGGAATTAATTTGATCCACCATGATGGATTTTTGAAGTTTTTATTTGCCTATTACAATTTTAATGTGAATATTATAAAATTGAGAATTTTAAGAACAACTTGACATTGGCGTAATTGTGATAACTCACAAAGCAAGCCATTAATAAAAAGAAGAAGAAGAAGAAGATGTCTATGATGTCACTGTCAAAGTTCAAACGTCAAAATTGTAAACATCAACATGTGTTTGTGTTACAATTCACCAGTTATGAGAACATCAAAACTAAAAATGAATTAGATATATATAAATGAATGGTATTGTACTGAAGAATAGTAAGGCTATTGTTTAAATTGAAGAAAAAATGTCTCACCAGTTGGGGCGTGTGGTTTCCGAAATCCTTCACCGGTATTTTGGTGAAATCGTACAACACGTAGGAAACGACTTGTTTATTTACGGTAGTAAGCCAATCGGTTTAATTGCGAAGACTACAGGTCTACCGCGCAAGCAGGTCTTACGATAGTAGTAAATGTTATCCTGTTATGAAAAACAACCTATTTAGTTCTTCATATATATATATATATTTCAGATCATTGAAAGCCTACGCACACTTATAAAGTTTGATTTAGTTTCTTTTGAGCCGTCAGTACATGAAGTTGTAGCAGATTATAAATTGCTTCCCAATAATGTGTTGCTTCTTATAAGATATCCAAGGTAAAGTATTCTTGATTGTATTAAATTTAATAAGGTTTTTTCATAGAACTGGCAATGTGACCAAAGATGGTTAACATACCAATTCAGTAACAGGTTATTTAATCTTGCCTTAAACAATCTCATAACTCAAATTTAAGAGAATTTTTAATTAAAAATGGTATATAATATTATTGCAGATATCTCCTTCAAATCAAGAGTAGATTTGGTACAGAGGCAGAACTATTAGTAGAAGAGTTATTACAGCAAGCATCATGCACTGCTACTGCATTGCTGGTTACCGTTGCTGCCAAAAACAAAGATGACAAGGTATTTAACTTTTGTAAATGAAAAATGTTGATAATAATGAATACAAGATTATTTTATAAAAAGCATAATATGAATATCAAACTTTTTCAAAGGTTAATATAATTTAATATAATTATATAAATGATTGTGTTTGTAATTTGATATTTTTTTATTTCATTGGCGGTTTTTGTTGAAATATTGATAACTAATGACATTCCAACAATAATGAAAAGTTAATCAAACTATTATATAAGCCATAGGTTAGTCAATTAACAGTAGTTAGGCTTGTTTATCACAAACAACGTACTTCTTGTATCTTAATCTGCTTGGCCTAATATAAGTGATCACAAACATCTCTACTTAATCTTTTTTTTTTAAATGACTTTATTATAGACAGTAAATATTCTCAGTTTGTGAACTATCAAAATGTAAATGGACCACAACAAATGACTACAATTTCTTGTACGTAGGAAAAGAACATAACTATATTGAAACTAAGAGACATATTTGTCAGTCTTGCCACCGCTGGATACATACAACAAGCTCCTGTTGCTGACACTAAAGAAAATAATGAAGTACCTTCTCTTGAGCCTGTTGCAACAATTGTGCCAGAACTCGATCCAAGGCAGTTGTTGCATGCATTGACCACTGGCAGTCTAGTAGATATTAAAGATAGTAAGTATGGATTTTATTAAAATATTAGGCATAGACTAAGAAGTCCTTTTTTGAGATGCAGTAGCAAAAATGCAAATGGTTCAAATAATTACTGCCTATAGACATCCACAATACATATAGAGTGACAAAAGCATTGCAAGTCTTTCCCTGTGACTTCTGTGGAACTTCCCTAGAGGAATTGGACAATTCATTCAACTGTAGATGCCTCTGCATAGCTTTATCACTGTAGAAATGAAAAATAAAAACAATAGCAGTTAAATATAATGTAGTATATACATACTTTTTATAATAACAAAGAATATTCCCTTATTCAATTAAGTATGCTACTTATTCTGCTATGTATGGCACTTAGCACAATAAAATAATTTTAATACATGTAACACTTTTATGTTATTATTACTCTTAGTACAATTAGAAACATCATGTTAATAACTACAATGCCAAATCTATCAATATTTTTTTTTATAATTACAGATATTTACTGGAAGGTTAACTTTGATAGATTCCATCAGGATTTCAGAGACGATATCATGGTCAAAGCTATTACGCGGCGTATTGATGATAATGGTATGTTTCACTTTCTTATTATGTCTTATAATTTGCTTTTTCTAGAATACTGTGTATGATATATATTAAACTTATAAAATGAGTGTATTATTTAATTATTGTTATATAAATAAAATATTCTTAAATATTATAAACTTTTGGTACATATTGGTGGCTTAACTTGATTTATATTTAACTGTTTTAGACATTAAACATTAGCTTGAAATATCAGTGCTATCCTATCTTTACAGCCGGTGAGCTGATGCGAATTCTACTGCAACAAATGTACCTTTCCTCCTCTGAGTGGGCTGCGGAATCGAACCCTACACCTGTTATTGACATCCGCGATGCAGTGCGTTGCCTCGCCGATAGGCCGTTGCTGACCCAGCATGTTGATCACTACTTGAGAGTACTGGGTAAATTGTTCAACTTTAAAATTAACATAACATTAAATGATTATTTACATGGCCTTATATATTTATATAAATAATCTTTTATATTGTAATATGTCTCAGTGGTTTTAGTTCAGTAACAATTGCAGTAAATATACAAATCAAAATCCAAATCATTAAGATTTTTCTCCAGTTGCATACTGGTAAGCAATCTATCAATAATAATAATCCATGAAATTTATGTATGCAAAACGTCCTTACATTACAACACAGCATAATGTTATCCTACAGTGAGGACAATATTTAAAAAAAAAATATATTTATGTGCAAACTATCTTGGTTATGGTTTGAATTTGCATGTCTTCTACCTTATAGCAATACTTGACTATTTCTTGCGATGGGATGTCTTAAACTTAATATTTTCCGTATTCAAAATGAAATTGCTTTTATATGTACAATAGTGGTAGCTTACTTACGAACGTATTAATTTTTATGTAAAATGTTGACGTTTCATAAGAACGCACCAGAGTCTATGTGAATAAATATATTTTTGATTTTGATATTCCAATAAACTTAATATTATATGACAACATCATATATTTTTCTCTAGATGCAGTCTTTTACAAGTTATATTCATCACTATAGTACCAAATTATTTGGTGATATGCCTGCCTGAAATGTGAAATGTTGCAGAAGATCAAAGTTCCTAGGGGAATTTAAGGTTGCATTGATGATAAGGTTGCAATGAAGATAACAAAGACCCCAATGCAGTTTGAGGCCTGCTTGAAGATCCCCAGAGATTTTTGATAAGTCTTTGTGAATGTTAAAACAAGGTTTTTGAGAATTGAGATATTGTGCTCGACGCAGAGGAGAATGGGGCTGGATTCGTGCGGCGCTGCGGTGATGCTGGGGGCGGGCAATATGCGGTTCAAGGTCGTTCCGCAGCCACCCAGATGCTGGATGCTGTTCTGGACCACTTGGTCACCGAGCGGCTGGGCTCCAACGCCGCGAGGATATTCAGGTCTGATTCAGCTTGCTGTGTTCAATAGTGCTGTACATGTTGGTTGCCCTTGAAGTGATCTCTTGCCTGATATATTGTTATTTTAGTTTATGATATAATGTTTTATTTAAATTTTGTTTTGAAAGTTGTCATTGATAAGTCTGTGAGATTTTGTACATCCATAAATTTTACATGGTTTTGGTCTATTTATTAGGTGCCTATAATAACTTAATTATGATACTGTGTTTATTTAATTTTATTTCAATATTTGGCCAGTGGTTGTGTCTGTTAACTTGCCATCTAAATCCATCGCAGTTTCTATTAAATCCTTAAGTTTTAACAGATTTCTTTCTTCTTCATTCTCAAACTCAAACACTGTCAAATATTTGAGCTTGGCGTATGTCTCACACATATTCAAGGCAAGATAAACTAGTGAAGTAAGAATACCATCTGTCTTGAAAATTACTATATGATATCAATTTATAAAAGAATCTATCAAATTTTGAATACTATAATAATTGTAAATGTTAATTAAATAATAAATTTAATACATAATTATTTCTATAACAGACTAATTCGAACAAAGAAGTACATAGAAGAGGATGACATACAGAAGCATGCCATGCTGCCTAATAAAGAGTGCAAGGAATTAACTTACAAACTTCTTGAGGAACATTTTATAAGTGTACAGGTGTGTGCAGATTCTATTATATGTGGTGTCTATTATGGTGTTTAAAATTATGTTTAGCCAATATTTGCTGTTATAATATGGTTAACCCGGTGAAATATTGAAAAATGGTAATAATATTTAAAATAATTAATTAAATGAATAAATTACTCATGATAAAGTTAATGTATATAATGTGGTCAAAATAATTTTTAAACATAAGTTTGACATCACATTGTGTAAGAAATATGTTATTGAATTATCAATAAGCAATAGCTTGTTCCTTTTTTGTATAAAATTTAGTTTCATATTCCAATATATTTGCCAATTAAAATATCACAAAGTAAATTTGTTTCCGTTTATAGTATGCTGTAAGAAATAGCCATAAATTTTCTGTACATACTTTTTACCAATATTAGATTCAAAATAGGTATAATCATCGTTATACCTAATTTCATATACAATTATGTAAACAATTTTATAATATAACTTTATACATATACAATACAACTTCTTTTATGGGCATTTATTTATTAACTAGATCGTTATTCCAATGCGAACTTTAGTTCTTAATATTATTTATATGGCAGTGATCTAGTTGACGTATTTCAGCCGATGAGGAAAGCGGCGTCCGCGGGAACCATGGCGAAGGCAATATACTTGTACCACATAAAGGCGCACGACGTGAGTTTTGTCGATTTTTTTAAAAATTCAAAATTAATAAAAAGTATAAAATATTCATAATATATGCCGTGTTATGAATACACACTATGTGGTACACAAATTTTCATACATTTTAACCCTGAGTTGGCTAAGTCAGATGTCGTAATTAAACAAAAAAAACTTAATCGTGCAATAAACGCACCGAAAGGAATAGCGCTAAGTGTAAGCCCACCAGTTAAGCCAAATTTTCATAATTCAATTGAGCCACTGTGCCATGGAGTCATCCGAGTGGGATCACTTGCTAGCGCGAGTGTTAAACGGTCATGTCATGTGTAGGTAGCGCAGTCAGCGCAGGAGTTGTGCTACCGCGCATTGCACAATTGTGCGCGTAGAGGCGCCGCCGCTCGGGCGAAACACGCGCGCCTCCTTGACAAGCAACGCCGCGTGCGCAGCATAGTGCACGGGATGCGCATACGCGGGGAGCCTCAGCAGCACATCGACGACGTGAGTTGTATCCGTATTGTCGTAATGTATAACCGAAACGTAACATATCCGGCTCGAAGGACCAACAAATTAATCCGGATATATACCACTTTTTGTGGGTCGTTATGAAGAGTAGGTTTATACGTGGTAGGGCCACGCAACGCCTTCAATGTTGCATGGGTGGCAAGACCCATATACTTACCCAGGCGGAGCTGGACTTGAAGTGTTATGCGTTTCATCTAGTGAGGTAGCCGGGGTCCACTTTATCTTTCAATTGTATATCACTTTTAAGCTGATGCGTGTGCGGCTTGAGGTTTGGAGATATTGTTTCTGTAGCCTATTCTTGGCTATTGTTTGATGGATAATACCTATAATACTTAAGGTAACAATTAGACAATACATTCGTTGTGTAATTGACCATATAGTGCACTTGGGTTAATGCAGGTCGAGGAAACGCTAACCCCGCCCGAATTGGCGGTGCTGAAAGATGTTGAGAAGCAGCTGAAGCAGCTCAGCGCGGCGGAGTTGGAGCTCGACAGGAACCTCTTCATCGTCAACTGGTACTTCATGTACCAGCAGTGATCGTACGCAGTTTAAAGCTTGCGTTATCTGCTTGTATGCGTCAAACGTGATTCAAATGATTGTGTACAGATAATAAACTAATTTGTGGTGACAATTTGTTAATAGTTATTTTTCATTGGATAATAAAAATGAACTAGACGTGTCTTTTTTTATAAGTTGTTATTTTAAAAGTTGCTTAATTTGTCCTTCAAACTACAAAGTATAAAATAGGTATTATGTGGCCCTATCTAGCATCTAAAATAGATATGATTGGGATGATATAATTTTCTGTCTAAGAAAACTTATTTATATTTGTCTTGAGAATAAACACCGGAAACTTGGGCCTACGTTACCATAGTACTAATATAGTATTAAACATTTATTGTAATATCACATAAAAAAAGATTCGTTGCCAGTAAAATATGTAAACATACCTTGGATTGCCATCATAATTATTCGTCGTCAATTCAATCATCGTTAATTATTTCCTTACACTGTACTAAATAAAACAAACGAAGCTCTATTCAAATGACATCATACACATAACAATTATGAAAATGGGTTAACTCGCACCGCCGTTATATCAGTTGAATAAAATAAAACGCATTCATACATTCTTAAAATTTTATTTGACCCCATCGAAACTCATTACTCGTTCAAACAATTTACAACCTATTAGTGTCGATTTTACAAAAACCTCCCGATATCTATACGTAGCCTCGACATAGACGTAACCAAGCGGACTACCCTGAAATTTACATAAATGCAAGTTCCGAAACATGACCAACCAAAGTGGCAAGTAATCAACATCGTTATAATTAATTTAATATTAACAATTATATAGATTATGTATGGTACGTAGATAAACACCTGTTATACAGTGACACCTAATAATCTTTATTAAATTACAAAATACCGTTGTATGCATAGTCAACGAAATCCATATTCATCTCATATTTAATTTTCAATAAAATGGTTGATTTAAAATTCGTTAAAGTATTAACATTAAAGCGTTCATATTTAAAATGTATTCGTTGATATTATATCAATGAAAGAAAAATCTACAAAGCCAAAGGAAGTATTGGCATCTGAAAATGTATACTTTCGTTTTGTTAACAACCACTCTAATTATGTTTGACAAATACAGCCGAAGTAATGCATTTATTTCATTTTAATCATTTTTTTTTAAATTGTCTTTAAGTAAATTTAAACAACCGAAACGAATTTTTGACCTAACCCGTACAAAATTCACAAACGCTCCGATTCCAATACAAACATTTCTTTCTTTAAAAATTCTCACCTATGCCGTCTCAATGTGTTATGACAATTTTTTTATACACTAATTTTACTCATGGTGCAACAGTAAGTATTATAAATTGGTACAAGATATTTATATACGCAGAAGTAGTTTTCCGATTTAAATAGTACCATTTTACTCATTAAAATATTATTCTAAGAAAGTAGATTACTTATTTTCAATCACATCCATCGATACACATACAACGGTGTTACAAATACCCACTTCAAGCTAAATAGTTAAACGTCATAATTGCCTATATAGTTTGATATTTACACATCGCACTGATCACTGCTTATGTCATACGTGTAACCGCTATATGCTAAATTAGATTATCTTATGCGAACCGACATACTTTACAATACAAAAAAAAAAATGCCGCGATAAAAATCATGTAGGATAAATTTGACATTTCGTCATACGAAATTAAATTAATACAGAAAATATTGACGTCGCTATTCATCGTCCGTAAAACGTTGCCACTAGATAATTCAGCTAATTAAAAAATCATTCGTACGGTTACGGTTTCAGAGGTTACGAAATAAAGCGATTAGATTCGATGTTGCCATGATCGGTTCGCATCAAATACCTCACTGTGTTACGACGTATGACAATATATACGAGTTACCGCGTAAACTGATAAATTTTAAGAGCTAGCACTATAGAAACGTTAAAATACGGTGAAGACGTGGAACTATCCCGGTCTACATTATCACCACGCAATTATTACGCAATCTGGGCTTCCTACGTTTAATTCAGACTATACATATATACTTAGAACTCGGATCTTAGGGAAAATGTGTATCGTTGTTCGCCGCAAGTTTTGTTTTCTTTTATCGAACTTCGTCAAAATCATCATGGAAACAGCTGACTACTCAACATTATTGCTTTAAAAGTTTAATTAAAAAAAACTAAAAATGGTATTATTCTTTAGGTCTGGATAAAAAGCGTCAATACATAGCTATGGGTCAATTCATAGCACAAAGAAACAACTGGAACAATCTTTTGACGCATGTTTAAGTGAAATTATTTTTCTGTGATTCGCTACTGAATGCGTAATAATTGCCTTGCTTTAAAATTATTCAGATGTTGAAGATTTGAATTCCATATGATTAAAATAACTGTTGTTGTCGCTTGAACGGGTGGGCATTTAAATATTGTACATCAATTTCTTGGAATACATTTCAAGAACCAAATAATCTTATGCAATTAATTATATATTGATGAACTTGGAAATAAATATACCGAACTCATTTATATTACAAAAGCTTTTTTTCCGAAAGCTTGCGTTATTATGTCTAGCCATTAAAATACTATAATTACTCCCATAGATCCGAGTACATCAAAGCCCTTACATTTATCAAAACTTTATTCCAATCGAAGATACTCGAAGCGACATCTATATATACAAAACGTGTCCATGAAGAGAAGCGAAAAAAAAAATACATGCTAATAAATTTTAAATTTTATTTTTATTATAAACTAGATATTTTTTACACAACTTAACAAAAATCATACGTACAGCAACTAAACAAGATATAACCAAAATATTAAAAAAAAAACATTCATACGGCAAACGGACCACTAAGCGATACGAAACGTCTGTTCGTTTCTTGCCGAACTTCAAAACGATTTTCGGCGAACGTGAGGCGTTACAAAACAATAAATGGCAAGACTTTGATCGTTTTAACGAAACAAACGCTTAGTTTTGTCTCACTCTCGCCCTGTTGAGTGTCAGCTATTTGATTGCCCTAATACTGTTAAGAGAGAACGACCATAGGCCTACCAGTCGACTGGGGTTGAATATAATATTTGTACTATATCACAAAATATTTCTGAGTGCTTTTTTAGATACAATAATTCGCTTCGCTGGCACTTACGCACATGTTGACAGCGAAACAAAGAGAGGGATAGAGCGATTTAGAAGCAACGAGACGGTGTGTCTCTTTCATTCTGCATAGCTCTTTTGGCTCTAGAGATGTGCGTAAGAGATAAAAACGGTTGTAAATAATGCTAAGCCGAATAACCTCTAGGAAATAAATCGAAACTTATGCCGAATTAAAAAAAATATATTAATCGCTTTATAGCTACGTTTACTCTCATTGAAAAAACGGGAGAGCAATGTGATGTTTAAAAAAAATGCCTTCAATATTTACATAAATAGTCAGAGATGCTAACGCCGGAGAAAGCAGTAGTGATGTGCCGAGTACATCATATTCTATACAAATAAATTAAAAGAAACATCTTTTTTTAATAGTTATCTAGAAAAAACCTATCAGAGTCAAAATGTTAGTATAAAGTCAATTTACATTTTTCTAAATAAATTGAGAACCTTTGATAGAGACGAAAAGATAACCCATTTGATTAATACCTTTATTAGTTCAGGACGTGTTTCTGCTCTTAGTTTTAGTAATGTAAAATCTTTTTCAGTATTTATGATTATGTACATAAGGTTAATATATATAAATAAGAATTAAAGTGTTTAATTTTGACGATTTAATTTTTTTTATCGTCGATCAGGCACACCACTAGTTCGTAGCTGTGAAGCGTGATATATAAAATGGTGGAATTGTTAATCAATCATATATACCTACGCGAAACATTTATAAACAATTTTCTAAAGTTAAAATTTACACTAAAATTTAACATTCCGAGCCGATCTTAACTCCAGCAGTCGCCATGCCGGTATTTTAAATAGATTAAAAAAAGTTTCCCGTTAATCTGTATCTCATCCGATGTTTTTTTTTTATCTGTGCATAAAGTTCTTAATAATTTTTAGAAAAGCCGTTTTAAATCCTACAAAATAATTTCACGTTGAAGGATTATAAACAAATAGACGGGTGGATAATTTCATTATGAGATACAATAATTAGTGTTGGTATGGCGGCAATTTTACTTATTTCCTATTGAAAAGCGAAGAAACGAAAACGAATTTTAGAATAGTAAAACATTATTGCGAGAACAAATTATCACAAAGAGGAAAAGATCGAAATGAAAGCCTCTGAACTGCGCTCTATGTTGAGCTCGCCAAATACGATGTACAAAGAAAATAAAACCCATAAATAATATACACAAACGGTTATTTTCGCTAATCAATGTGTTTCGATTTATATAAATACATAAAAAGTGAATTGTCGCGCGAATTCGTGTAGATGGCCCCAATAATAATATTAACGGTCGCTTCGGAGTCTAAGGAGTCTTTAATTACCGATATACTAACATTAAAGTCAATTGGAAACTTATTAACATGTATTTAAGATCCAGATTAGAAAATTAACGAATTCAATTGATGTTAAGTGATAATTGACGTCCCTGTGTGCGGCCGTCAGTATTGTTTGCCTATTGACTGTATAGTATATGATGAGAAACGTATAGGGCCGTGGTGACGAGCATCAAGTGGTAACTACACACTCTCATGAGAGGAGAATATTGAATCGTTGTCCCAAAAATGGTTAAAGCACCCATAATTATGGAGGTGAGAACAGTGTTAAAACGCACAAACGTCAACTAGCGCCATCTGACATAAAAATAAGAAAAAGCTATATATGTATATTATATGGAATTATTAAAGTTTTACGAGATCAAATGATTATATTTCGAAAAGCTTGAACTTTGGATAAAAAAAAAGAAACTGTTTTGAGTCTCGATCAGACACGGCCCTACTGACTAAGGGCACGCCCCTACTAGACACGCGTCCTAAACACTGGCTACAGCCAGTTATGCACTGTAAGATAAAATATACATCGCGTTACATAAATTACATACCGCGAATTGCCTTTACAGATATAACTAACTTCACGGTCGGTAATATAGCTAAAAATACGCCGAAGACCTTGAAAATATCACCCGATCGTTCGAAGAAATATTTATAGTTCATTATGTACTTCTAAGTGAAAAATGTTTCTAATATAGACTATGATAAGCGATACAAATTTACGGCCCGGTATATAACACAACAATGTTTGTATAGGTTATAAGTCGGCTTAATTTGAGAGACACATCGGCAGCATTTACAATATAACGTGACATAATTTAGGCGGTGAGATATACATGCATAACGCTCGGAACACCCGTCATGGAGAACAAATTCCGTACGGCCGTCTGTGCACGATTGATCGCTTGCAATATTTTCAGATATCGTCGCTCGCGGTGTGCGCGCGGCGTTGAACGCTGCGTTCAACCTTTGTGCGTCATCGTATGTAAGCTTGGAACGGCCGAGCCCGCAAAACGACCGATCTAGAAACTAGGTAATATAACTAATTTGAGGCTTTTTTTTCTCTTTAATGTCGCAAGTGCTCCAGTAACGTTTGAACTACGGTTAGGTTTAGGGCGAAATGGAATCTCGACTTTACATCACTGAACACATTGTCCGAGTTCTACCGTGCCTCCCCCCAAACCCGCGATCTCCGCCCCCTCTCCTCCCCACCCCCTCCGACCCCCAAATGCCCCCCAATCCCCCGACTCGAATGTGGGGGGCATTACAATATGCAGCAGGACGCGGAGCAACAACTGCTGGAGCCGCCTTTGCTCTTTTGTCGTTGATCTGAAAGTTTAATTTGGTTATTTTGGCGTGAAATAAAATATTACTATAATGTTGTACAGATGCGATGATAAAAAATTGTATAGGAATATAGGAAGGAACAGGTTTCGGTAGAGATGTGGAGTCACCATATGCATTGTTGATATTATAATCAGTAAGAACTGCCAGTTAATATCGCTAATACCGAATTATTTAGTAAATCAATTCCTGGTCAACGATAGACTTTACTTTGCTGTAGATCAGTGGAATATAATATTTTAATATACCACACAGTATGTCATAATTAGTATTTGATAATAAAATTTCAATACAAGATGAATAATTCAAATTATGTAAGGTGGACTTTATTTGTAAGTGTGGTTAAATCTGTATAACAGTGTATCAACAATGAAATACAATACGTTTATGGAGCAAAGTTCCAAAAATGGGGAAGATATTCAAGGGTACTTACGAAGGATTCAAGGGTTGGGAAAAGGATACCAGGATCGGGTTGAACTAAAGCCATCGAACTTCTGAAATTATAACTATTGCTTAGAAGCTATTTTTAGTTACGTGATATAGTGTAACTATATAAAAATGCGAAAGTACATACATGGATTATTGATGCTTATGTACTTCTTTGTAGTGACTGGCTGATTAGTGAGAAACGATTATGTTTTTTTTCTGACGTATAAGTCATCATATACGAATAAGTGACATTTACGACAGGCGGGGGATAGGTATCCATCCCACGCCTGTCGTAAATGTGCATCTATGAATCTGTCGTGAAGAGCGACTAAAAGCGGTTACGGATTGGCAGCAGAATAAATTGGCATCCAGCTGTTGCAAGATTGCGATGGAATCGAGTCCCTCCAAACCTCCAGGAAATGATGGGGTGTCTTTTGGGAGATCCCCAGTACCAAAACGAAAAAAAAAATAAAGGTCGGATACCGTGTGAGTTGGGCTCGGGCAGGTGTTCGCGTGGCACCAGGTGCATGACCGTGGTGCGGCCCAGGGGCAGGCCTAATGCGCCCAGGGTCACTGAACTGTGGAGGAAGCGGCCCTGGTAGATGAGCCGCAGGATCTCAGCCCGGGACACGCACTCCGACGCCCAGTCAGCTGTGAACGAGACGGGGCGGTCGTGAGCCGAGAATCCAGCACGTGCTTATATATTCGAGGACTCCTTGGCGCAGTTGCCAAGGTATGGGCTTCGGCGTCGGGGGTCGTGCGGTCGATTCCCACATGGGACAACTATTTGTGTGACCCACAGATAGTTGTTCCGCATCTGGGTGTTTGTCGGCGTGAAATTTGTGTTTGTAAAACGTCCTTACAACACAGGATAATGTTATCCTAAAGTATGGGCAATGTTTAAAAAAATCTATTCAAATTTGTAGATAAAATGGATTCGCCGCTGTGTTTTACCACTTAGCTAAACGGCTGCTTGTCACGCCGACGAAAATCTTAACGTCTTTTTTTTCATTTTAAGTGCAGAGATTAGCACTACCAAAATATTTTTTTTTTATTAAATATTTATATTATCCTTAATTTTTGACAAGGAAGATAAACAAAAGCATTTAAACGGTTGACGCAAACACTTTTAGATATTAATTTTAAATAATAGTGATACAGACGTTTATTCGAAACTATTGATCATATTATTGCATAAAATTTCAATTAATTTAACAAGACATACAAACATAATTTAACTTTTTTAAATACATAAGTTCGAAGAAAGAAAATAATTTGTAAATTCATACTTTTATATTGAGAATTTCATCTAAATGATATTTAATTTATGAGATAGAAAATTTTAATACAATTACAGATTGTTAATATATACAAATAGTTATAAATAATAAAAAAACAATGTATAAATGATCAAACCATGTTAAACATGTTCAAAATGAAAAAAAAAAGATATCCATAAATGCCCCCAGAGAGATTTGAACTCTCGACCCCTGGTTTACAAGACCAGTGCTCTAACCCCTGAGCTATGGAGGCTGATGACCGATATGTTGTAAATACAGAGTAGTATCCACGTCACCGCGGCTCACTTCGTCAATATGAATGTAACTCAGCACATCTCATAAATATTCTATTACAATGTAGATGGCGCTGTTACATATTTGTATTAATATTAAAAATAAAAGCAGAATTATAACAATAAAAATAAGTATGTGGATATTTTAATCAACGTAAGTGTAAATTTATGCAATACTAATAGATTAAAAACGTATTTTTTTTTTGTACACAACTACAATATCCTACAGTAGCCCTGCTAGATGGCGCTACGGTTAATGTTTGAACCAAATGACGTTCAAAAAAAAAAACAATTAAAACTGGAAATATCAAAACAATTGGACGCCTATAAAAACGGTTTCTTGCTCAACGACCTGGTGCTTATGTAAAAAAACAAATCACAGTATGACAAAAAATATAGAGGTTTAATATTTATACCCTGTATCCTTTATTAACTGATGTTAACGCTTTCCGTCCAGAGACTATTAAAGCTTAATCGAATGCAGAACCGGTAGGCTAGCCAGAACCCAAGGGTCCGACTATATATATTATATATACCAAGATACTGAGCCCTACTATCGATGGGAATACGGCGGGAAAGGGGTAAAATCTCATTATGATAATTTCAATCTCACGAAGAGAGTGAAGCTTGATGAATTATAATTTAACGAGGCGTTAACTTCTCTTTTAATTAAAACTCGATTAATCGAACGCCGTTGCCATGTCGATTTATTTACTACGTACTATGCATTTACTACGGGAATGTAGTTGAAGGCCGACCGTTGATAATTGGAAGCCAACGTGTTAATCGGCCGTAATTGTTTGAGCCTTCAAACGAAATGGAATCGTCGCCGCGAGCGTTTTGCGAGGAAGTTTGTTTTTAAAAGCTCTTTTTTAATATTTTTTTTTCGCTGTGGCTATCGTGATCGTGTTTCGGAATCGCGCGTAAATTCGATATCTAGAGTATTATGTAATTCGATGTATAGTATATAGATTACAAATATTATATAGATTATAAATATTACCAATAAAACACGATCTATTCAACTCTTGGTACCACGCACCGACCGACGCAATCTTACAAAGAGACACGCGTTTCCAAACAACTCGACTGAAACAACAATGGTCTAAACAGCGTAACTGGCGGTTTATTTACATTCTTCGCATACGAACACGTTGTTTTGGGGGTCATGTCCCTTATAATATTATTTCATCGTCTCGTTTCGCGGTTTCTTTTTTTAATGTGTTATAACTATATATGATGTGGTGACGTAATACAATATGTAAGAGAACCAATGTGCAGAAAGCAAATAATCATTAAAATAGAAGAGAAATTAAAAAATGCGACGCCTAACCAAAAGAGTTAAGGGAGTTTAAAATTGAATAAGAAGAGAAAACGAAATCGTCACATCGAATAAGTTAGCCGGATCTGGGAGACATAAACAATTGATGAGAATCTTTCCTCGTTAAGGCTTTAAAATAAGCTTTAAAATGAATTAATTCACTTTCGTCTTGCACTATTAATTCAGAGAGCTTAAATTCGGCCCGATAAATAAGAAGTACTTTTAGCGTTTCGGATAAAGTACCTAACCATAATTATTAAACTGATCGCTTCGGTCAATAAAATGGTGGACAAAATGAAAACCCTACAATAATCGTTATTGACGATGCATTCCCTTTCAGCACTATGGACTATGTAAAGTTCCAGGATTTTTTTAAGTGAAAAAGTAGCAAACGAGCTGGCGGTTCACCTGGTGTTAAGTGAAAATTGCCGCATTTGCAACACCCGTAGGGTTTCAAATGCATTGCCTCGTTTAAATAAAGTGGAGCCCGGCTACCACACTCACCAGACGAAACGCAGAAGTGTAACACTTCTATTTTACGCCGGTCTTCTGTGAGGTCGTGGTACTTACCCGGACGGACCTGCCCATTCGTGCAACGGCGAACACTGTTGCGTGGCCCTACCACATAAAAGGTGACGAAAACATTGACGTCAAGCGTGCTGACCGACATATAATACATACTTCACCACACCGGCTTTGCATTACCGTCCCAAACCATAAATCTCACTATTCAAACGCTCCAAAGCTGCTATTATACAACGGACACCCATCGAAATTCCCCCCACTACTGATTAAGTACCGCACTGCACGACAAGGGACCCAATAGTTGTCGATAAGGGTACCTTTTGATAGCGAACGCTGACTTGTCTTTTTCTGACTCGACACGAAGCCCCATAAAGTTTTTGCCCGACACGAGAAACGTTAATCTAGTTACATGAGTTTCCCCATTTCCTCCCCCTACTTTTTCCCCATTACGCCCAAAATTGCGACGGCGATCTATTTTAATTTGTTTTCTTATTAACTCCAACACCATGGTTGAATTCGTAAACGAGCAGTCACAGGCAATACAACACAAAAAAAAAGGTTATTTTTAAAATTGGGTTTGAACAAACAATTTCATAATGCATAAAGCAAAACACTGTTATTTTGTTACTACAAACAAACACTTCAACCTCATTTATTTGTCTAGAGAGCACTTGTGAAGTATGTTTACGTCTTTATCTTCTAAAGCATATCTTCAAAATAGGAACACAGGTTAAAATGAATCCATGGTTTTATAAGAGGATGTAGATGACACCTTCACCATTTTACCAACAAGTAAAGTTAATGCATTTTTAAATCACCTTAACTCAGTAAATTCCAAAATACAATTCACTATGGAATTAGAGAATAATAACTCTTTAGCTTTCTTAGATGTTTTGGTCATCCGCAATCCAAACAACACTATAAGTCACACTGTGTATAGGAAGGCAACCCATACAAATAGATACCTAAACGGTGACTCTCACCACCATCCATCCCAGTTAGCTACCGTGGGTAAATCTTTCTTTCAGAGAGCACAAGGGATCTGTGACAAACAACACCTGGCCGCTGAGCTTCAACATGTCAAGCAAGTTCTGCATGACAACAAACTTCGAGCACCGCGCCTACGTCACAGTGACCGAGTGAAACCAGCCACAGTGGAGCGAGTAACTGCTGTTCTACCATTTGTCAGACGAGTCACCGACAAGATTGGCTATATCTTAAAGCGGGCTTCAATTAATACATTCTACAAGCCGCTGAAGAAGATTAGTCAGTTTTTACCATCTGTCAAGTGTAATATCCCTCTGCAAGATCCAGGAGTGTACAAACTTGATTGTGAATGTGGGCTCTCTTACATAGGACAAACGAAAAGAGCTATAAAAACCCGCGTGAAAGAACATATAGCTGACATAAAACATAGTAGATTAAACAAGTCTGCAGTTTGTGAGCACACTCTAAATCGGCCCAACCACTACATCAGGTTTGATAGACCACAGATCCTTGCAAAAGAACACCGATTCCTCCCGAGGATGATTCGCGAGGCTATTGAAATTAAAAAACACCCTAATTTCAATAGAGAAGAGGGTTGGGTACTACCATCAGCTTGGGATCCTATCATCAATAAAATTAAATCTAAGCCCTAAAGAACCACTACTGCAAGACAAGATACAATTAGCTCCCTCTGCATAGATCGGACACAAAATCAATAATACAAAAACTGACGGTAGCCCGGGTTAACTTTGACAATCAGACGTCTAACACCTCAGTCTGTCCCGTGACCATGAAAGCTGTAAAGGGTTCGAAACGTCGGGAACTAAAATTAAAAATAAACGCGATAAATCCGTAAAATTAGTTTCATTTATAATGTGTAATCGCGTAAATACAAGAAATTATTATGAATCCATGATTTGAAATAATTTCGGAAGATCATAGTTTGTGACTATTTGGTACATTTTTTTTAAGAATACAAACTGATGACGCAAGCTATTTTTTCAAACAGACAAAGTTCAAAGTATAATAATCACTGCCACCAGCGCCACCAATCCGGGACTAACGTAACTATATTCATCGGAGTGGTCATGTCCCCCTTTATATATGCGCGCTTAATTTCATATCAATAGAGTTAACGGTGCTCGAGTTTTAGGTGAATATAGATACATTATACAGCCAGCTAGGGCATCCTTTTGAAGGTCTTTTAACGGTATATTCAAGCAAATAAGTTGGTTTCCCTTCCCC